TCTAGAAAATCTGTCAAATGTGTCAATATGTTTATTTTCTGTCAAGAATGAGAGATATGCTCCTTTCAGAGCAGAATGTCTAATTGTGAAAAAAGTCTAGAAAATCTGTCAAATGTGTCAATATGTTTATTTTCTGTAAAGAATGAGAGACATGTTCCTTTCAGAGCAGAATGTCTAACTGCAAAAAAGTCTAGAAAATCTCTCAAATGTGTCAATATGTTCATTTTCTGTCAAGAATAAGAGACATGTTCCTTTCAGAGCAGAATGTCAAACTGCGAAAAAAGTCTAGAAAATCTGTCAAATGTGTCAATATGTTTATTTTCTGTCAAGAATGAGAGATATCTTCCTTTCAGAGCAGAATATCTAATTGCGAAAAATTTAGGTCTTATTACGAGAAAAAGCTTAAACGGCATCAGCCGATGCCAAATTCATTCAGTTATGTGCCAAGCGTGATACTCGCTTAGGCGATCATGTACCCTTCGATACATGACTGACGAGACACATATTTCCCCCGAATATGGTTGGCATTTCTTTCAGCGGTACACCAATTGCCATCCAAGGCTATAGAACTCGGTCTGTAAGTGAATGTAATAGATTCGACTGGAATTCGAAATCGGCTCTCCGATTCCTCAAGCCGAGTCGCTACCCATTAGCAAATTCTTATGTGGTCTTCAGTTTGAGCTGAATTCAAAATTCGTGAGGCTAAGTTGAAAAAAAAAACAAACAAACAAACAAAAACAACAACACAAGAAACAACAAAATGAAATGATAAAAAACTAAAAAACAACAGCAGCAGCAGCAGGAGGAGGAGGAGAAGGGGGCAGTCTCTCGCGCAAAATGAAAGCACAGAAGCGGCAAACCAAGAAATTAAGCTGAAAAGGATACACTGCCTTGAAAATGAAAACATTAGGATTAAAAAAGAGTGAAAGGAACGAGACTAGAGATTAAAAGAAAACCAGAGATTAACAGGAAGAAAACTGGTGATGAAAAATGAAGGATTAACAGAAAGAAACTGAAGGAATAAGGAATAAAAGAAAGGCAATGAGAAATTAAAAATTAAAGAAAAGAAAGGTTTAAGATTAATGGAAGCAAAATGAAGCAGTGAAGATTAAACAAAAAACATAAAGGATTAATGAAAAGAAAAGATTAACACATAAAAGAATAAAAATAAAGGATTACAGATCAAAGAATGAAAAATGAAGGATTAAAGATTAAATAATGAAAAATGAAGGATTAAAGATTAAAGGATGAAAAATGAAGGATTAAAGATTAAGGAATGAAAAATTAATAAAAACTAATGAAAAATGAAGGATTAACAAATAAAAGAATGAAAAACAAAGATTAAAGAATGAAAAATGAAAGATTAAAGAATAAAAATGCAAGATTAAAGAATGAAAAATAAAGGATTAACAAATAAAAGAATGAAAAATAAAAGATTAAAGATTATGAATAATTAAAGATTTTTTAAAAAATCCTGAAGGATTAACAATTAAAAGAAAGAAAAACAAAGGAATAAACGATTAAAAGAATGAAAAAAAAAGTAAGATCAAAAATTAAAAAAAAAGATTAAATGAATGATAAATAGAGATTTAAAATTAAAAGAAAAAATGTGGTAAAGAGTAAAAAATAAAAAAAAAACACATATCGTTAGGATTAAATCTAAAAATCTGTTATTAAATTTTCAAAGACAAATGACTGCATTAAAATATGTATCAGTGTTTTGCTTTTTTTTGTTGTTGTTCATGGTCGGATTGTAAAGCTCGTCGCCGAGCCAATTCTGGGGACACAGGCCATTGATTTGGACAAATACTGTTATTTGTTAGATTTAGTGAAGGCAGGAATAAATGGAAAATGCTTGGAATAATTTCAAAGAACTCTTACAGAATATTCCTTCAGGATAACCGTAGACGGCATTTAGCTTTGATAACAAAAGCGAATTTGTAACAACTTGGCATGAAATTTTTTCACTAGTTTGCACTTTTTTGTCACTAGATTTCCATATGTGAGTCTTTAAGAATATTTTTCAAATTATTATATCAGCATGTAGTAATTCTTTGGGAGAAGAGTTCAATTTATTACTTAATAACAATAGAAAACACATCCCCCCACTTTATGCCCAGTAGAATCTTATATTGATACAAGTTTACCGATGTTATCAGAAATGGTGGTATAGTTTAAGAGTTTACTATTATAGCTTCTCTTGTTTATTTGGGGATCAGTTTATTACTTAATAACAATAAAAAATCAATCCCCCATTTTATGCCCAGGAGAATCTTATACACTACTGTCGAATTAAGTCCTTACTGTTACTAATTCTGGGGGATGAATTTATCACTTAATAACAAAAGGAAACCGAACCCCCATTTCATGCCCAATGGAATTATATTAATACTATACAATTTCAAGTTCAATTTGTGACTAATTAAAGTCATATTGGGACTAAGCAAGTTCATAATGAAATACCCAAGTTGAAAATGAAATAGCCAAGTTCAGGATGGGACATAGCAAATTCAAAATGAAATACAGTGTAACCCGGATATAAGAGACCCGGATATAAGAGAAACCCGGATATAAGAGAGATTTTCTCTGGTCCCAAATTAGAGCCTGTGTTAATGTATATAAAATAGACTAAACCTGGATATAAGAGAAACCCGGATATAAGAGACTTCGTCTCCGGTCCCGACAACTCTCTTATATCCGGGTTACACTGTAGCCAACTTCAGAATGGGAAGTAGCAAATTCAAAATGAAATAGCCAAATTCAGAATGGGAAGTAGCAAATTCAAAATGAAATAGCCAAATTCAGAATGGGAAGTAGCAAATTCAAAATAAAATAAGCAAGTTTGAAATGGGATTAAGCAGATTCATTATGGAAAAATGTTACAAACTTATCTGCGATTTCAATAAACAAATATGGATTAAAAAATCAACTGGGCGGTAAATCAGATAATTAAAAATCGGAGCGCAGCGTTGCGTAGATTTTACTATCCAGGGACTATTCTTGAAATAGATACATTTGTGTCAAAGTTAGAGTTTCTGGCATTTTTCTTGGTAAGGCAATCAGGGAGAAGAGAAATAAATGGAAGAGATGGATAAACTGTATATAGTGTTAAAAAAAAGAATAACAGGGAGTTATTCAAAATGAAATGATTTGGGGTACAACAGGGCAAATCTCGTAAGTCCTATAAAAAAGCAGCAAGGAGATACTGAATGCAGATATCAAGAGTTTGAAAAAAATAAAGATATAGTGAGAGATTTTAAGCACTGAAAGTTGCATCCAAAAAAAACATACAGCTTTCATGAATTTCTTTGATTTATTAATTGTTCTTAGAAGATAAAACATTTCAAAAGTAAAGTTTAGTTGAATATTATTATTTTATCATGAAAATATTTAATTTAAAGTCTTTTTTAGCAAAATAATGGCTCAGTCCCAAATTGAACTTTCCTAATCCATTTTGAATTTGGTAAGTCCCAAATTGAATTTGCTTATTCCATTTTGAAATTGACTGTTCCATTTTAAATTTGCTAAGTCCCAAATTAAAATTCCATTTTGAATTTGCTAAGTCCCAAATTGAATTTGCTTATTCCATTTTGAATTTGCTAAGTCCCAAATTAAAATTCCATTTTGAATTTGCTAAGTCCCAAATTGAATTTGCTTATTCCATTTTGAATTTGCTAAGTCCCAAATTAAAATTCCATTTTGAATTTGCTAAGTCCCAAATTAAATTTGCTTATTCCATTTTGAAACTGACTATTCCATTTTAAATTTGCTAAGTCCCAAAATAAATTTGCTTATTCCATTTTGAAATTGACTATTCCATTTTGAATTTGCTATGTCCCAATTCAAATTTGACTGTCTCATTTGGAATTTGCTATGTCCTATTTTGAATTTAGCTATTCCGTTTTGAACTTGGCTATTTCATTATGAACTTGCTTAGTCCCCAAATAACTTTGATTCGTCCCAAATTGAACATGAAATGGTGTAGTTTATTGTACTCTCAAATAGTTTCTTACCATTGTAAATGTTTACACGTGGATTTTTAAATACAGTTTTTTTTTAAATTATTATATTTTAAGCAATATGTATAACCATTCACTGATATATCCAACTTTTTAACCTTTTTTTCTAGTTTTCACAAAAATACCGTATTTTCCGGCTTGGAAGACGCATCCTAATATCGGAAAGAAATTTCTAAAAAAAAAATCTTTCTCATACAACAACATATTCACCATGTGTCCCTCACATACTAGTGAAACGTTTTTTTTACATTAATCACTCGTCCGATTTTGTTTGTATGGCCATAACATACTAGTCAAAATCAGAAAGGCTACCGCAGCTGCTAGTAAACAGAGCATGTTTAAGCTTGTGGCTTGGCTCCAGGAAGGTTTATAATCTTGGAAATACTTGTAACATCTGATGTTACATCATATAAAAGGTTGAATTTGATAGATAACATTATAGTGTAATGACTTAACATATAAATAACGTTCCTATCAGTCAAGCCAATTCGGTGACCGTGCAAGCTTACTTGAGCCTGGGCGTTGACTTAAATTCGTCTTGGAAGACACACATGTGTTTTTCAGGGTATTTTTTAGGAGAAAAGGTGCGTCTTGTAAGCCGGAAAATACGGTAATCCTTTCTTTTGTTTGTATATTTCCATTAAACAGTTTATGATTGACATTAAAAAAAAAACAAAAAACACAGCCACTTGACGTTGCGTGTGCAATGGGTGGGGGCAGGCAAATTTAAGAATCTTATATGGAGTAATTTTTTTTTTGATTTTTTTTATGTTCCGTTAATGTTAAATTACTTATTTGGTATGTATTATTAAGTATTGCGTTTTTTTTCTTTTAATAAATTAATTATTTTGTTTCTTTTAATGAATTAATTATTTTGTTCTTTTAACGAATTAAACTTTTTTTGTTTATTTTGTTTTTGTTTTTTTCCCTCACCCCACTTTAGAAATGATTAAGAGAGGTGTGTTGAAATGTTTTACATACCTTTGGGTACATTGGGCTGCTCTTTTGGCAAGTCATGCGGATCGGAAGGTGTATTAGGGGTAGGGTCGTATTGTGCGGGAGGGATATCGCCTCGTGTTTCTTTAACTGTTGGTGCCAGAAAAAAAAAACAAAACAAAAAGAAAAAATGTTTGGTAATCAAAAAGAAGGTTAAAGTTCATTAATAATAAAAGTCGATCAGTTGCTTTTTCATATTAGTCCGTATTTTTCTAAATATTTTGCAAAATAAAGCTTATTTGTAATTTTTTTTTTTTATTAACCCTGGGTTAGTCACTTGTTTTGACCCCCACCCAAATTTTTAAAATACTTGTAGCTGACGATATTCAGTCACCCCCCCCCCATCACGAGAGTGTCATGTGGCACAAGGCCTTTTAATGTGGGCATTCCGAGCCCGTGGGCTCGGAAAAAAATGTTTCCCTTTGAACCCGTATAAACGGGTTCAGGGCCAATCTACCTCCCGAAGGAGACTCCGCCCTTCGGCGTAGCCTCCTTCGGGTTCCTCCTGTCCGTAGGAAGAGAGTACAACCGAACAGTCGCTCAGAAAATACTTGTAGCTGACACCTTTTTTTTTTTTTTTTTTTTACTTTTCCCCCTTCCACTAATCTGCTGACTCAGTGAGGGTGTTTAACACGTGGCGTGGCCCAGTTGTAGCACAGTTGGCGTGGGAGGCAACGTCTTTAAAGGACTCTCCATTTTCGGAAATTCGAGGTGACAAACGCAGGGTTAACGAAACTAATTTCTAAAAACATTACTTTTATTAGTTTATACTTTATATTTACCGCCCCCTATCTAGGCACTGACCATGCACGACATTGCTTAACTTCGGTGATCGTAAGGAAACCCGTGTCTCAACGTGATGTAACGGTAAGCCTGTTATAACTAGCGAATACACGTGTTTGATTAGATGTCTCCTTTCTTCATGGCTTCTTCTGTTTCTTTTATGTGCCATGTCCCTTCAGGACGTAGGCGATCATGGCTCTCCACTTCCTCCTATCACTTGTAGCTCTCAATAAGTTCTGTCCCTTTACTACTTTCCCCAGATCATGTTCTGTCATCCATAGCTTAAACCCGCTTGATAGGTGCTTTCCCTTGTCTTTCTTTCCCCCCTCTATTTGTGTGTCAGATTCTCCAAGCCCTCAGTCATGGCTTAGTCGACCTAAAACCATGCTATATAATGGTTTTCCCCCTACATGAGGGCAGCTTCTGACCCAGCTTTAGGGTATTTTTGTTTTTATTAAAGACTCTCGAATTCCAGGCTGGCAAATAAAAATCTTCTACGTCCAGTGTCTCTTCAGGACGTTAGCGATCATGGCTCTCCACAATTTCCTGCCCTTTGTAGTGCTTAACAAATTTTATATTTTTGCTATCCCTCCCTATATTCTATCAATTTACCCAAGCTCGTCAGATAGGGGTTATGCACTGGTTTTCTTTGTCCTTCTTGCTTTCAATCTGTCTTGTGGGTATCACATTTTCCAAGCACTCTTTCCTCGTTATGTACCTTAGATGTTTCAGCTATCTTTTCCTAATGTTGACTATAAGTGTTCTTTTGTTTCCATTTTGTCTAAAACTTTGTTGTTGCTCACATGTACGGTCCATGGCCTTCTCAGCATCCTTCTGTGCAACCAAGTTTCTGTTGTTTAACTTAAGTACTCTTTTCTTTGTTTCTAATTAAATTTTCCCGTTTCTTAATACTTTGCTTAGCTTTTGGAACACATCTTTGGCTATGCCAAATGCGTCTTCTGTTTCCCGTGTCACACTTTCCGTCCTCTGTTAAAACGCTCCCCAGATATTTAAATGGTTTTACTTGCTTGATTTCTCCAGTTTGCAATTCACATGTTGGGCTGTCTCTTTAACCGACAAACCATGAGAAACAGAGACATCTATCAGACATGGTTATTCACTAAATATAATATATATATATATATATATATATATATATATATATATATATATATATATATATATATATATCCTAATCTAACATCATTCCTAAATACTATATTTTCTAATGAAAGCGATGGATTTTTTATTTATTAAACCAAAAGATTATTTTTAGTGGTTACCCATATTTAAGTAGACGTTCAATTTATTTATTAAACAGCATATTTATTTATGTTCGTTTACAGGCCTGGATATTCGAGAAATCTTATTAGAGAAAAATATGCACTCTCCGGCAGGATTCGAAACTGCTTTTCCCCCAGGAGAAACCCTCATTAAATCTTATGTGCTTTAACCTCTCGGCTATAATGATTAGCGGGTAGCTAGGCCGATGACAAAGGTCTTTCTAGCTGGAACAAGAATGATTTTGAACAGAAAATCAACATTCTCTACCAAATATTCCACAAAATATGACTCAAGATAAATCATTCCAAAACAAAATCTATGATGTGGAAGTTGAATGAAAGCAATGATGGCGCCTATCCTGAATCCATCATAAAAATTCAGAATGTACATACTAAACATTTCAAATACCTCGGTGTAATGATCAGTTACAACAAATATAGTTCAGGACATACGGAACATGAACATCGAATCGGCTGAGCAAATTGCTATGTAACCAAAACATCAACCTGAAAACTTGAATCGTGTCCTTATGTAGACTCGTTGGATCGAAACTTTCCTACAGATCACATGCAGTCGACCAGACTGTTCATTTCTGTTGAGCTTTCTGCCTCGACACAGGGCAAAGTTTCGTCCGGGAAGGTAGACAGGCCCTGAACCCGTCTAGGCGGTTTCAAAGGGAATATTTTTGACTGAGCTTAAGGGGTCGGAGAACCCACGGTAAACTCGGCATTGTGCCACATACATCCCTCGTGGGGTGGGTGGGGGGCTGTTAAATATTAACAGTCGACCAGATTGTTCATCTGTCGAACTCTCTGCCTTGAGCGGAGAGGAACCCGGACAAGTCTTTGCTGAAGGGCAAAGTTTCGTCCGGGGAGGTAGACAGGCCCTGAACCCTTCTAGCCGGGTTCAAAGAGAATATTATTGGCCGAGCCTACGGGCTCGGAGAAACCCACGTTAAACTCGGCCTTGTGCCACATACATTCCTTGTGGGGGGGACTGTTAAATATAACATATCTTACGCATGGCACTAGAACAATTTTGAAATTTCTAAATCGTCGGTTATACACAACTTTATAAGATCAATGATTAAAAATGACTTTCAGTCAGTGAGGCCTGTGGGTCTTGGCAAAGGTCATCTTTCTTTGAACCTTGAGGATTGTCGCTACACAAGCACAAACAAAGAACTGTACCAAAAGACAGCAATGTCATCACTTGTGGACTACCAACAGCAGTAACAACTAAAATGTATATCACATATGACTTGAAGAGAAAATAATGGCATATTCAAGATGACAACAAGTTACACTACTTCAAATTTATGGTTAAAAAGGAAACCTCCATCAATACTGGAAAGAGCGATAACAGCTACTGGACTTGAGAAAGTTATTTTCCTGCAAAATTGAATTAAATGTTTTCATAAATTTTAACTGAAAACAGTACTGGTTTTCAGTCTATGCATGTCAATTGTTTCCTTATAATATTACCATTAGAGCCGAAGAGAACAGATACTACACTTTGATCCCAGCACGATTACCAGGGAGTGAAGAAAAGCATAAGTCGAGCAACACCGGCTGCTCGGTCAATGAATGCCAAATGTTTCCTTATAGGGAAACGGCTAATATTACCATTACCACTAGAGTCGAGGAGAACAGATGCTACACTTTGATCGTAGCAGGATTGCCAGGGAATGAAGAAAAGCATAACTCGAACAACACTCGCTGCTCCGTCAATGAATGCCAATTGTTTCCTTGTTGGGAAACGGATATTACCTTTACCATTAAAGCCGAGGAGAGCAGATGCTACACTTTGATCCCAGCACGAATGCCAGGGAATGAAGAAAAGCATAGCTCGAACAACATTCGTTACTCCGTCAATGAATGCCAAATGTTTCCTCATAGGAAAACGGTTAATATTACCATTACCATTGGAGCCGAGCAGAAAAGATGTTACACTTTGATCACAACACGATTGCCAGGAAATGAAGAAAAGCAGAACTCAAGCAACACTGGTTGCTCGATCAATGAATGTTTCCTTGTAGGGAAAACAGCTAATATTATCATTATCATTAGAGCCGAGGAGAACAGATACTACACTTTGATTCCAGCACGATTGCCAGGGAGTGAAGAAAAGCATAAGTCGAGCAACACCGGCTGCTCGGTCAATGAATGCCAAATGTTTCCTTATAGGGAAACGGCTAATATTACCATTACCACTAGAGTCGAGGAGAACAGATGCTACACTTTGATCGTAGCAGGATTGCCAGGGAATGAAGAAAAGCATAACTCGAACAACACTCGCTGCTCCGTCAATGAATGCCAATTGTTTCCTTGTTGGGAAACGGATATTACCTTTACCATTAAAGCCGAGGAGAACAGATGCTACACTTTGATCCCAGCACGAATGCCAGGGAATGAAGAAAAGCATAGCTCGAACAACATTCGTTACTCCGTCAATGAATGCCAAATGTTTCCTCATAGGAAAACGGTTAATATTACCATTACCATTGGAGCCGAGCAGAAAAGATGTTACACTTTGATCACAACACGATTGAAATCAGAACTCAACAACGATTGCGATCAATGAAAGGGAAAACAGCTAATATTATCATTATCATTAGAGCCGAGGAGAACAGATACTAACTTTGATTCCAGCAATTGCCAGGGAGTGAAGAAACATAAGTGGTTGCTCGGATGAATGCCAAATGTTTTCCTTATAGGGAAACGGGAAAACCATTACCACTAGAGTCGAGGAGAAACAGATTATCATTGATCATTAGGATTGCCAGGGAATGAAGAAAAGCATAACGAACAACACTCGCACTTTGAATGCCAATTGCTTGTTGGGAAACGGATATTACCTTTACCATTGCCGAGGAGAACAGATGCTACACTTTGATCCCAGCACGAAAGGGAAAAAGC